TTGTAAGCTTGGCCTGGATGTAGGGAAGGAATCCAAGAACTTAGGCTGATTTTTGGGTGATGCCGCACAGCATTAACCCGCAGACCTAGACTATTTTAATGTAAACAAACATGCATATTTTGCATTAAGCCAGCAGGCAAATCAGAAAAAGCAGAGGCAGGAATTTAATAAACTCTTTCTATTTATATTGGAGCGTAATTTCCTATTCTTAAGTCTCTGGCTGATGCCTGGCTCTAAAGCTCCTTGTCTCTGAAGTGCAAGCATGGCAATTATAGGCCTCAGACTCATCTGTAGCATGACAAAATGCTGAGCAACTTGTACTACTACAAAAAACTTAGAGCACTGTAGGAGAATACACACATTTAGAGCCCCCTAGTTGGAGGACTAAAGTGAACCACAGTATAGTCTCCAGCCAGGGAACAATAGGGGGCTATACTCCTTTGTTCCCTCAAATCCCAGGGTACTTGGTCAGTGAGCCCACTCACTGACAACTTGCCTCTTTCCTGCTGGAGATCGACTCAGGAGGCAGTCTACCTCTCCCAGAGGGCCTCACCCTGCTGTCTTAATAAATAGGGTGGCTGTGGGCTGCCTGACATCTTGCCACCCTCCCTAGGATTGTTGTTACACTTGTCACCAGGGCTCTCATAGCAGCAGCAGTGGCAGGCTTCTCTGTTTCCATGGCAGTGGCAGCAAGATCCCAGCAGTGGACTCTGACAGCTTACCCAGGTGAGCAAAGCTGCAGCCCCAGGGTCCTGGCTGGTCTGCAGCTCTGCTCCTGGTGGGCTGTTAGGGAGACAGCTGCTCTTCCCTTCTCCCCTGCCTTGGAGGGGAAAAGGGAGTGGGGGAGTGACAGCAGAGCACTATGGGATACTGAGGGTCCAAGACCTCTTATAGTGTTACACTAAGTGGACACACACTGCATGTGGTGCTATGAAATTTGGCACTACAGAGAAGTTCCCGGTTCAAATGTCAACATTCAGCAACAAAACAGGAACATTTCTGTAGTGCCGGAGCCACTTTTGTATCACTAGTGAAGGTGTGCACAAATGCATTCTAACCTTTCATAGTGCTACAAGGACATATATAGTACTACAGATATAACGTGTCTATGGCCATAATCAGAAAGGATGCTTCCTTGAGCTCCCATAGTTTTGGTATCTCTTTTTCAATTTATTAACATTCTTTCCAAAATGTGGACACCAGAACCAGGCACAGGTTGTTGACAGCAAAAATTAAATAAATATTGCTTTCCTAATTTACTAGCTATGGGATCAGCAACCTTTCAGCAACAGTGAAATGAATTAGCAGAGTGTAGTTCTAAAGCAGGCTGCCACATCCCTGGCTTGGCAAGCTAGGTAATAACTCTATGGGTCACAGGTTGCCGACTTCCTGCACTAGATCATTCCTTACTGCTATATCCAAGAATTATAATACTTCCCTCTGTCATTGTATCACACTAGAAACTTATGTTCAGTTTGTTAGCCATGATCATTCCTATTTTTTTTTCTGTCACTGCTTTTCAGGTTACAGTTCCCAAGTCTGTGTGACCCTATATTTTTAACTTCAAGTGGCATGACTTTGCATTTGGCTGAATTAAAACATTGCTCAAATGAATTCAGATCACCAGGTTACTCTGAACCATCTATCTCTATTAATACTCCATCAATCCAGAATACCTCAAATTTTAAACGTACAAAATGAACACAAGAACAAAATACATGTATGCGTACACACACAAAGTATAAATTTCCATCAAAATCTCTGGGTAGGTAATCAAGTAAAGTAAAAACTGTAAGCCTAATTTACCCTGAGCTCCTCAAGTTTCTCTCTTATTTCAATAAATCCTAAGTGAAGTTTTCCTCCAAAGTGGTCAGCAAGCCGCCTGTCGTTATCATGGAGACCCAGGTAGGCAGAACACACTTCACAGACCCGGAGCTTCTGCTGCTGAAAGCTAGATGCAGGCATAGAGTTCCTGTATACTTCCTGGAGAAAGAGACATTTGGAAAGCAAGAACTTACTAGAAGTAACATGTGTGATAATCAGTCAGATTCAGTCATTCTTGGTTTTGAAGGAAGGGTGACATTTAAAATGGTGCAAAACTTGTTTGGCCATTTGAGTATCTGAATACAGATAGCTGAGACAGCAAAACCATGCTTATACTACTGTATAAAAAGGATCCAGTTTTCTAAACTAGAAGATGAAATACAATTTCAACAGTGTTCCCCCTCAGAGGAATCTGCTACTTGATTGTTCCAGCCAAAAAACAAATCTGACTTGTCTGAACTGCAAGTATATTGAGGAGGGGGGTCAGGAGGGGAGACAGGACAGGAGGGCAGAGGAGGTCTCACATGAGGCATAAATAATAAAAAGAATGTGTCCTTTATTGAAGCATTTCAGGCAGTAACTATTAGTAAATACTAAAGCCTCATTACTAGGGGCCCACCTAAATTGCAGAGGAAGGCGGGGGAATTACCAGTTTTCACAGGTTGACTGAAGCCTAAAGCTTTAATTCTGTGGTCAAGTCGCAGGGGCCCTGCTCCCCACCCCTCAGCAAGGCCTTGGGTGGCAAGGCCCCACCCCTTAGCACTGGCAGGCAGAGGAGGCTCAGTGCAGGAGAGGGATAAGGGGGCAACCACCATCTTTTCTGCTGCCCTTCTGGCACCCTGCCCACCAGTGACTTCCCCTCCCAGCAGCAAGGACAGCTGGCTCCCGCTGGGAAGTTTGCATTTTGTTTTTAGTAGGTGCTTTTTTGTTGTTGATTTTACAGATAATCCCCAACTTTGTTGTTTCTCAGAAACTGAATTAAGTAGGCCCCTACACATCAGTAGAAAAAAATATTTTAACAGTACAAAACTATATATCTATAGATCTATGGCTGTTTTTTGATATATAAAATTGATGGGAATACAACAGATACCTCCAAAAGCTCCACTGAACTGACAGAACAGCAGTGAAAAATTCTTGTTACTGAGGCAGCAAAGTTAAGATAGCTTCATAATTAATTGCCACCAACTCACTCAAAATTAAGAAAATGCTAGTTGATACGTCAATATATAGCACAGGGCTGCTGCTATATTATCTCTGTGTCTAAAAACAGGCTAAATGATTGTCTAAATAAAAACTTCAGTCAAAAACATACTGAACTGTTTCCATTTTGCCATTAAGAACAGTTTCAAACCTTTAAAATTAAAAAAAAAAATGCTGAGGAATCTGAACCAGCCTACTTGGAGAATGTGGTTTATTTTATGCTGCCTCTACTCCAAAGAACTCTCTGGAATGTGAAGGGTCAAGGAATTCATGTAAATGAAACAAAATTACCTCTGCTTCTCTCTTCTTGGCCCGGGCTTTCTCCACTTCATCCATTACTTTCTGAGACTCTTCCACATTTCCATCAGCTCCAAGCTGTTCGACTTTGGCAAGAAGCTTCCCAATCTCTTCATTCAATTCATGCACTCGCTCAGCCTTGGAAAGAAGAAAAGCAGCTCAATACAAGCAGTGATTTTTGGGTATGGGTTTTGTTCAGAGTGTGCTTTTTGGAACTACTGAGGCTTAACTTTCAGAAACCATTGCTGCATGACACAAAGTCAGTCAATGGAAACATGCATGAAGACTGGACACTTCTGGATATAAACAGAAACAAATGACGTTTCCCAAATCAAACTGAAGGAAAAGCAACCGTGCCTCCATGAGTATTCTCCAAGCAGAAGACCCCTCAGCATATGTACCTACCAGTTAGATTTTTCAAACTGTGGCTTAATTCAAGAGTCACCTCTGGGAGTTTTATGATTAACGTATGATGGGAAAACTTGCCTGGTTGTAAAAGAGCTATATGTACATTCTACTTACTTTATTCATGATTATATTCTGCTTCCAAAGTATAATTTTGTTCAGCAACTTAGAATAATGCAAAAAATCACATGGTCATTGTTCTCCCATGAGCACATTTGCAAAGTAAATGTTTTATATAGGCTTTGCTTCAACGCATGCATGCACACTGGAAGGAGGCCTGAATTTTACAAGTTACACAAACTAGAACCAACAGCAAGAAACACTATATTTTCTTCACAGCTTAAATCATCCTAGCTGTTACTGAAAAGTTATCACAACTTTACAGTATATGCTTTGCCACAAGGCTGGAAATTTCCTGAAGAAAAAACAGACTAACCAGTCCTTTTTTCCTTGTACTTCCACCTCATTTTAGGACCAGATCTGGAGACAGTTGAACCAAATCTTATTTCACCTACACATACAGGTCTGTTAAAGCCTAACATTGCTTTCTTATATGTAAGTTCTATTTTCACCACTGGATTCAGCCTTGTTTGGATTTCAACCTAAGTACACTTGAGTTAAAAAGAAATGGTTTCTTACTGATTAATAAAACACTCCTTTTCATAAGTATCTCCCCTAAATAGTCCTGCAGTGCTTTGTATAATAGCAGAAACCAGTTATAAATGCTTACCTTAGCTGCAACTTCAGCACTGATCTCTTCCTGGGTTTCTGCTAATCTCTTCTTAGCAACTTCAGTTCTTCTGTCACAGTCTGCAATAAATGACTGCAGGTGATCCATTGCCTAGAACATCAATCAAAAGACTATCACTTACAGAAAGAACATGCATTTTTTATTAGACTAAAAACAGTGACTATTAATAAGAATTTGAAAAAAAGGGTTAGTTTTACAGAAGTTTTGCTCTCTGGACCAATCTGTTTTTAAGGTGCCACTCTGCCTTCTGCCTGACTTCAAACTAACATGGCTAACTACCTCTCTCTAAAAAGCCTAGTTTCCTTTAACTACTACATTAGTTTAATCGCTTTGTTATGTGACATAAGCATTACGCCTGTAAACCTGTAAGAAGCTTGTAATTTATTATAGATTTCTGCTTCCCATGAAAGTCAATACTGACACACTTTAAATCAAGCCAGTGTTATATTTAGAATAAAGATCCAAAGTATGAGAACAGTGAGTTATCTGACAAAGACAGAAGAAGGAAAGAAATGCCATTATAGGCTACTAAAATTATGAAAGGTGTGACATTCACATGTTAGCCAACACATGCTAATGAACATGTTAAAATCCGAATCTACACAAACCTATAGCTAAAGAGTGCACGTGGAAATTCTAAAGTAAATTTCTTGTGGGCTCTCCTCATAAGGAAAAATGGAAGCATTTTAAAACAGTGAAAAATTATAGAGGGGAAACACCTCATATTTACCTCATGCAATCTATATATGAAAATTACAGCTGTCTTGGCTTCACATGTGGATTAGTCAACATGAGTTAAAGACCATGCATTACTATTCAAAGCACTGTTGACTGGACAATGGCATGCTAAATGTTAGCCAAGGAATACATTCTGTCTTCTGCAAACAGGATAAAACATAAAAGACTTCTCAAACCATGCATTTGTGTTTAGCCATTTGTCTACTTAGTGGGAGAATGTTAACAGCTTAACACAGTGGTACTCAACTTTTTTAGACTAAAGGCATCCCTTGGAAAAGGTCAGCTCTTAGGTTTTCACTCATATTTTGACTACAGAATAATAATACAGAAACATTTCTGTTGCAAAATGCTCAGAACACCACAACAGGTCATATGGATATGTATATGTATTTATTTAAATACTATAGATTTTTAGTTGAAATCGTTGGGTTTATCTTCTGAATAATGCTTGCACACCTAACAGCGCTAACATTGTGTGGCACCCTTGCTAAGAATCACTGGTTTAGCCCCACAAACAATCCTCAGCATTATCTAGCCTAGCACACCAGATTGGATACTCAGATACTACAAGAGAAGGGCATGTAAATGCCTAATCAGTCATATAGAAGTCTTCCAGGATCCCTCAATCTCTAAACTAATTTTAATAAATTTACTGGCAAGATTTATGATCTTTTAGTACAAAGAACAATGCTGTTAAGTAGCTCTTCCATTATAAGCACATAACCAATGTTAGCAAGAATAGTATAATTAAAGACAAAAACATACATCAAGTTCAAAGAAGAAGTCTTGTTCTTTAGACGCAATTTCATAATCTGCTCTTAATGCCAGGTCATGTACCTTCAGACACTCACCAAGGTCCATTCTCTGCAAACAGACAGCAAATGGTCATGGAAGAGAGAAAAACATCTTCATTTTATGTGACATAAATATTACTCCAAGTGGAGTCTGCATAACTCTTCTTCACTTGTCAAATATTGTGGAGCAAGTGTGGAAGCACAAACTGTGATCTGTTTTACTCAAGACAAAGTTATGTCAATATTTGTCAGTGTATTCATTCCATAAATTACTTTTAAGGAGTTTTTTTCTGAGGGCTGGGCTGAGCAGCAGGACTAGAGTTTTCTTTAACTGATGCACCGAACTTTAACCATTTTGTTATGTGACATATGTAATAAATTACAGATTTAATGCTTATTTCTGCTTCCCATGCAAGTCAATACCACCAGACTTTAATCAAGCCAGTGTTATATTTAGGATAAAGATCCAAATATGAGAACAATGAGTTCTCATATAAAGCAGCAAAGAGATTCTTTAAAAATAAGTTCCAACACATTTGATTAGAACATTAGGAAGTGCCTGCCTTGCAGCCTCAGAGAACACTACACATTGAATCAAGGGCACTGTGGTAATTTAGCTAGCCATACTTTCAACCAGTTAAAGGACTGACCTTGGATTTAAAAGTAAATTTACTCCAATTTAATTTGTGCACAAGACTTTACATCAGATTTTGGTGACAAGGCAATCAACATAAAATACTTGCATAAAATCTAAAATATGATCAATCTAAGTGTTAAAAGTAAATAAACTCATACATTAGTAAACCTGAAATCTTACTACGACAAACATACAAATATTAGGTTATAAAAAGAACTGCAAGTTATGCTTTTAATTAGTACATTAAGTAACATTCTCTTGCCCCCCAAAGCATCATGGAATTAATGTGATGTTTGCTGCCATCACTATATTCACTCTGCTCCTTTTTTACCCCTTCCTCCACCTTTTGCTCATCTTATCTATTTATTCAGAGTACAAGCTCTTTTGGGAAAGAAGCATCTAAAATTCTGTAGCTGTACTATACTATTCACGATTAGGTCTTAGATACCACTATAATAAACAGGAGGAAGAGGACAAACAAACTTTGGGACAACAGAAAATTAAGACTCCTACGCTAAGTTCTAAACACATAAGTGAAACCTGGAAAAAGGACTCTAAAACTGGTAAGCAGATGATGCACTAGGAGCCAAGGGGAAGTCAGCCAGTTTCATAAGCAGTAGGCTCCATTTGGTGTTCAGGTCCAAAGATGTGGTTAATATTGGTTTATTCATCACCCTCAAGTACTAAACAGGTTCTTGGCAAACTGATCAAGTTCTTCAATACTTGGAAGCACCAAGACTTGGTAGCGCTTGTTATCATCACTAAGTCTTCTGTACATGTTCAGGATTTCCTAGGATTCCACAACAGTGAACACTGATTTGCTTAGCTTGGGCATTTGACTACATGTAGGTCTTGCACTTGGAATGGAATTGGAAGATAGAAGAGAAATTTACTTTCATCATAGTAGGCCTTTGCCTTATGTGATTTGAGGCTAGGACTTCTCCTTCTTATAAGAATAGGGAATATATGTTGGTTATCCACTTTTGGAAGTGAAAAATAACAGCACAATAATTCTATATGGCTCTTCATAAGATACAGCCATTATATAACTACTGAACATTTAAGGGAATTAAATCATTTTAACACTTCTCTACTCATGTCATGTCTTCTAAACGTATCATCTATGTTCTTAGAAGCCCAAATGATTTACAAAGGAGCCATATTGGGTAAAAACATGAAAAGAGAATGACTAGATCAGGAGAAATCTTTGGCTGAATTAGATTGCCATTTATAGATTATTTGAAGTAAAATGCAGTAGCTTGCAGGGGACAAAGAAATGCATCTTTATTTCTGCCTCATTTGTTACATCTCTTACTGCAAGTTTGATCTAAGCTGTCTTGGTTACTGAAGGCCAGCATGTAAGTACAGAATATATTAACAGAGAAATAGCCAGGCCTTTTAGCATCTGAGGTTGGGGGGG